CGTTACCGTTACGTACGTACGTAACCGTACTACGTACTACTACTACTACTACTACTACACAACTACTACTACTACTACTATAAAAGTAAGTAGAGAGAGAGAGAGAGAGAGAGAGAGAGAGAGAGAGAGAGGAAGTTTGGTTTTTTATTTCCTTTCGGATTTTCAATGATAATGATCAAGTGACAGGTCTAATAGCTCATAACACCAAATCACCAAGAAGTGATCAAAGAGCACATAGATTCCTTCTACCAAACAAGAGAGAGATCAAAATCCAAATAATTGTAGGGTACACAAGCAAGAAAAGCCCCCCCATACCCTTTATGCCCTTTTCAAGGGACACATGTTTGATAGCTTAGTAATTAATACCCTACAATCAAGAAGTGATCAAGGACCTTATTGATTCCACCAAACACAATCTTCTCACACCATTAAAATCCCTCTAAAAATAGAGAAACCCAACATGAAGAAAAAACGCAAACTCAAATCACAAGAGTTCCATTACAATAATTTGAGACCAAAGCTTTAAAAACAAACTAAATGTTGAGCTTCCAAAGTTAAGTTTATCCCCAATTAAAAGATATCTTTCCAATACAAATTCCTTACTCTATAGGGCACCAAAAAGCTCTCATTCTAAAACTTGGGGGTCATTAAAACTACTTTAGAGAACATGATAATTATCAGAGGATGGATTTTGCTAGAGAAATAAGAGATAAAAGCCTAATAATAATACTAAATAAGAGAGAGAACTTACCCTTCAATTACTTGGACTTCCCTAAAGTTGGGAATAAAGAGTGTCACAACAAAAGGGCAAGCCCTATATACAAACCAAATACAAGGTACGCTCATCTTATGGTATCCACGTGGAAGATAAGGGAGCTTGAGAGGCCAAAAAATGAGAGAGAAATTTTTTTTTGATAACTAAGAGAAAGAAACAAATGGTTCTAAATGAGAGAGAAGAAATGGTTGTGAATGAGAGAAGGATTTGGGAGAGAGATTATTATTATTATTTTATTATTATTATTATTATTATTATAAAATTTTTTTTTGTCCTCAGATGAGAGTATGAGGATGAGAGAGAAGATAACGTGATAGCGTGTTTTCCACCACATTTACTTCTCCTCCTCATATCACAAAAATTAATATTATTTTTGTTCTTTTTGTTTGGGGTGCATTTGCATAGAGCTGAGGTTTTAAACAATCAAAGTAAAGCATCTCTTCAAATATTGTCGAGAGAAATGTGGTTTCAATATTAAAAATCTTTGTGATAATTTTAAACTATATTTTTATTTTTAATTATAAAATTTAAAGTTTCAAAAATAATATAGATAGATAAAAACTTGAAAATCTAAAAAATTGACAGTAAAAAAATGCGTTACAAAATGCACTATTTTCAAAACTTGAAATCCATTTTTTTTCCTCATGTTTATGCATATTGATGTCGAGATGATCAAAACAACCTTGAAATTTTCGAGGTGGGCTCTAATTTGATTGTTTAGAGCCACGATTCTATATAAGCTTTTTCCATTTTATTTGTGGATGCCACACAAGCCAATAATCACCCAAAGTTTGTAGCTATCAAGTATTCCACAAGAAAGCAAAGGGGCCTGTCCCCAAAAAATTAGATGGCTAGCAGACCTGACGTAAAGAACTCCTTGTTTTTTTTTTGTACCATATGCACGTCAGCACTCAGCTAGATGTACTTGTATGTGCATGCACACTCTATTTTTAATGGGTGTAGTTTGTATAAGGTCGCAACTTTAAACAATCAATTGAAGCAGCACCTCTAAATTTTATAGTAACTACGAAAGTAATTTTCAGGATGGCTTGAGAATCTATTTTTATATGTAATTATAAAATTTTTAATTTTAAAAATAGTTTAAATCAAGTAGATCTATAAGCACTTGAAAATCATGAAAATAGGCGGTTCAGATAATGTGTTGCGAGATACATTATTTTGAGGACTCGAAATCTTTATTTTTCTTCAAATTCATAAATTGCAATGTCGAGACGATCAATTAGATAGTTCTCCAACATCAAAACGATTTTTTATGATGGATAAGGTGCCCTTAATTCTACAATTTTAAAGTTGAAACCTAATATAAACTTTTTGTATTTTTAATATATATATATATATATATATAGCAGAGGCGTGGGCTTATGGTATTTTTCATCCTAACCAATGAACCCGCTTCAAGGGATGGAAGTTGACTATTGCCTCGTCTACGTGCAATGCGCAAGAGAAGGGATAGGCACTTGATTTAGACAAAAAAGACGGACAAAAAACGACATTCAACCGAAAATATTTTGTGCTCCACCTTACGGAAGATACAAATTTATTCCACAAACAAAACCCTAGCTTGGTGCTTTTCCAAGACTTTTTAATTTTGGGCTAAAACGTAACCAACTGTTCAAATGCAAAAAATTTGATAGAGAGAGTAGGACTACCATCTCGTTTTCAATTTAAACGCGTCAATTAGTGGGTAGAGAAAGGGTCATGTCGAATTGTAATTTAGGGACCAGCCACGACGATTATTCCTATATGGATTATTGATGATGCTAACTCGTGAGGCGGTAAACTGAAAATTCAGAAGAAAAGTTGGGAAAAAAGGGGTTTTCCGATAAAAGGGGAGATTTAAAAAAGTGTTTTAAAAAAAAATGAAAAAAATAAAAATAAAAATAAAAAAAATAAAAAAATAATAATAATAAGGGGCTAACAGCAAGCCAGGCCCCAAGGCCCAGTACTTAGAGTTGGTGTTAGCTCAAAATCGAACTCGATACGCCAACTCTTTCGGACCTTCACAGTTTACCAGACAAGGATGATCCATACTAGGATGATTTAGGGTTTGAGAGAGGTCGGGATTAAGGTTTAGGACCATTGGGGCTAGGCTCGGATCTAGGGTTTTAGGGTAGCTCAATGCGAGAGTACTCAGTGTCGTGTCAGAGAGTCTTGGCCAAAACTCCAAAATTATGTCCTCAAAATGGCGGTTGGCGTCTATTTATAGACGAGAGCCCCTCTAATAAAGCCACAAGGTTGTGATCTAATATGAGCTGTCTAATAATTTCATTGCAATCATTTAGTCGAGATCATTTAGTGATTTTACTGTGGCACTCATGTGGGGGCCCGGTGCTGATGATGCTCTGGTCCTTGATTTCTCACTGATTTTCAAGCTTGTAGCTCGAGCTAATGATTTTTGGGGCATTGGTGCTAAACGGCGTTGTTGCTCATAATGCACAGTGTTGGCACTCTCATTGTCGAGATAATCATGCTACTTTCAACAACATTTTAAGGCCTGACGTTCGATTTATAGGCTTGTAACTCGAGCCAATGATTTTGGGGTATTGTTGCCGACACCTTTGCTGGTCACGATGCCCAACGCCAACACCCCCATTGTCGAGATTGTCATGCAACTTTCAACTGCATTTCAAGGCCCGATGTTTGGCTAATGATTTATAAGCTTGTAATTAGAGCCAATGATTTGGGGGCACCCCTGTCTCCGAGATAATCATGCTACTTTCAGTTGCATTTCGAGGCTTGAAGTCCGCTAGTGATTTATGGTCACTAGCCAGTGTTCACCCATGCAATGTTACTCCTCGCATGCCTTGCTTTGGGACACCGGTCATCTAGTCTTGTACATTCTGTGCTGACGTGGCCATCCCCAATGTCGGTGCTGCTAGCTAGGTCGTTGGCCTCTGGAGGCTAGATGATCTATTGGAGGTTCTTGCTAAAGTTTGACACTTGATTTCGGAATCGAATGATGGAACTTAGGAGGGTCTGTAGGGCTTGGGTTTTAGGGTGTTGCTTTCTTGGGCTCTGGGTGGTCCTAGGGCCTTTGGTGATTAGTTTGAGGTTTATGCCATTATGTAATTTTTTAGTTTTTTAGAATTTCTTTAGTCAATAATGGTGTGTCTACAAATGCTCCTTTTTGTCATTCGTATTGTATGTACATGGTGCGAGATGGGTGGCAAAGAAGTAGACGCTTGACGCTTGAGACAGAGTCAAAATGATACAGTTAAACAAAAGGATTTCTGAAGCAGAGTCATTGCTTTAACGTTTGACAGAGGTCAGCCCATGGCACCTGTGGTCTCTGAGACCTAGAGATGGGCTTAGCCCACTCGTTGGGGCAATTGCTGAGACCTCCATTTGTCGGTGAGTTTAGGTCGTGGTGTCAAATTCCAAGGGAGACAGAGTTCTTTGGTATTTGAAACATAATTTTAAAATGTTTTTAGGAGAGAAATCAAAGAATTCCTGACAGTGAATTATAGACTACCTCGTGCCCTGAGCGGTTCCTAGAAGTTTGGGCTGTAGGTTGCCTGATTAGGAGGTTCAAGTAGTCTCGAGAGGATTTTAAGGGAGTTTGTGTGAAGAGGATCTGAAGGGTTTGGCTTTCAATTCATGATACCCTTCATCTCGTGGTATCCCTTTCAAAACTAGATAGTCTTTTTGGTGCAATCTGACCATCCCATTGGCTATGGAACGGGCTCCTTTGTTTTTGAAAAATATTTTTTGAAAGATTTTGAAAGCAAGGTAAAGTTTTGAAAACAGTTACTAATGTTATGTTACCATTTGAAGCAAAAAAATTAATATTTTTGAAAATGACAAACATGGAGTTTCGAAATAGTCCAAAGCAGGATTGTCCATGTATTTGGAATTTTAAGATTAAGAAATAAAAAAGAGAACTTTGAAAAGAGGAATATTTTTGAAAAAAGAGTAGTAAATAGTTTTAGCTTGTCTAACCATGAAGCCGACTATGCAATTTAACGTCATGCAATGGTGGACGTTGAGTTCCCAATTACATGAGGTTGTCATTTATGGAAAAATCTACTACACATTTTCATCTTAGGTAAAGTCTCTCAGACCCAATCTGTAAATTGTAAAGCTCAGCTAAGTTCAAGACCTTCCCTATAACATTGGTTGTTACGATGTGCCAACACGATCAGGGTGTCATGATGATTTCGTTCGGTCATGTAGGGTTTGGCCTAGTTTTTCTAGGAGAAATCATCGAAGTTAAAGTTTCTCGTGATCCAATCTCTGAATTGTAAAGCTCAGCTGAACCCAGCACATATGTTGCCATGGCGAAGCACCTCCTGTAATAGTGGTCGTCACGACAACCTTTAACAGTGGTCTATCACGTCATGATATGTTGCCCCGACCAGGAACCTCAGGGGTCCCGTTGGGGTGGCTAGAGTTCAGTTACACTAGACTTACATGTCGTAAAAAAGGTACAGGTTGAACCAGAAGTTCAGTGCCTAGTGCTGAGAACAGTTTAGTGGAGGGCATGAGGTAAAGATGTAGTATCTATGCTGCTGCCCATTTGGGACAACATCGATGCTGCGAATGCCAGGCGTTGTTGATGATGCTGTCAGGGCAGACTTCCCAATCGAAAAGATAAACACTCCTTGTTCCTCTGGTGTCGACTCGAAACACCGGCCCTTATGAACGGAGAAAACTTTTCTTACACTTCTCTCTATATCAGGGGCACTAAGATCGTTTGCCTACTCTTCGTAGCATAGCACTGCGGTAACCTGATTACCCAGATAGAGGCAGTTCAGATGGCCTATGATGAGCTTAAGAAGGGGGAGAATTCAGGGAAGTTCCAAAAGACAATTAATGGGAACTTGCGGTTGATTGCATCCAATCTGGTGAAATTTTGGGGCCTTCTTAAAGCCAACTGTCTCTCTTGAGAGACAGAGGGCTAGACGACCCCGAGGCATTCGAATCGTTCACCACCATTTTGAGAGCTCGAAGGAGATGATCGATGCCCCTGCCCCTGAATCGCCTAGGTGTAAGGCACATCGAGTGAGGATCACTTCTCACTGCCTCTCTCTTGCTTTCTTCTCTGGATGGTTCCCTAGGATGA